CACTTTCTCTTTTGAAGCCTACTGTAATTGAATAATTACAGTAGAACTGCCATAAAAGGAAGAGGATGCTTCAAAAGTGATCCAGAAACCAATTCTAAAACTAAGTTATCCTGTATTTCTATAAGGATCTGGAAGTAAATATCAATGAGTAGTTGTATTTGAAATGAGCTGGGAAGGGGAAAACTACAAGAATCACTAATTTAAATAAAAATCAGTATTCAAGTCATGAATTCAAGATTGAACAGGCAGAGGAAAATAATGTGGACTTGTTTCATATTATTTTTCTGTTCCATCTTTGGATTTGAATCTGTTCCTCAAAATAAGACAAAGAAAGCATGGAAATTTCAATGATTTAGGAAATTAGACAGGAGAGGTGCTGCCATATCCATCTGGAATAAGTGGAATAAGGAGAAAAAAGAATGAGCTGTTAGAATTATAAATGAAGGGAATGCAACTCCATTATCCTGAATGACTTACGAATTAGACTGACTAGAAGGAGCTGCATTGAAAGCGAACATTACAGGAGATATTTTTGTTTCACTGGTGATAACAGCAATGAGATGGTCTCCTGGTCTGTAATAGCTCCATGGTTTTTCTCCATCCTGGTGTTCCAGAGTCAGTGGACATTTCATTCTAAGCTTCCCAGAGATTGGCTGGGGCAGCAGTAGCATCAGAAGCAGAAGTAGGAGGTTCATAATTCATGGGGCTGAATCAATTCCCTTCCTGTTTCTAAACAAGAACAAGAAATTTGAAGAATTAAAAGCCCTGAGAATTAAAAGAGACAAATCATGCTTCACCTGGAAAGGAGAGAAAAGGACATTTAACAGCACAGCACCTGCCTGTCGTAAAATTCACATAACACAGTGTGACTTAAAGCATTTATCCTTTTCTGATGCAAGATCCCCTCCACAGTACTTCAGTCTGATGTTTACATCAAAGGCAGTCACTAGAGAAGTAGAAGGAGACATCTCAAAGAGCAGGATGGTGATAATTACAGTGAGAAGCAACTTTTCCTCTGGGGACCCTGAACTTATTCCTGATATACAGCATGTTTGTGAAAAAATACAGACATAACCCTGAGGGCAGTGTTCTTTAATGGTTGTGGTCTTTCCTGTCAGGATCTGTCCAGAAAATGATGCTGGAGGGAAATGCAGGATTTCAACACCTATGTATTTGATTTCTGCTATCCTTCAATATGGACTCTTTTCTCCAGAGACTGCTGAGTAAGGTCACCCAGAAACATGGAGTTTGGTGCCACTCTAGGTTGAGGACACTGAATATTTTTGGATTATATCATTGTATAAATATGAAGAAAGATATAGGGCTAATAGATCTTTTTTCCCCTTGACACCAATTGTTGTGACCTAGGCCCAAGTAGTTATTACCAGACACAATCAGTCCTAAACAAACCTGTTTTATTGAAACAGCTGAGAGTTACTTCATTCTCAGTTTAGTTCAAATTAAGGGGCCAATCATCTCCTGGCCTTACTCCCGAGTTGTCCTTTTTGCTTTAGCTGCTTTTGCCTTCTGGCAGCTCTTCACATGCGTGCACTAGGATCAGGCTCCTCCTGTTCCTCTGCCTCTCTGTTACTCGCTTCTGGAGGCTCCGGAGTCCGCTCATCACTCCCAGATGGCCCTGGCCCCATCTCTGCCTCTAATGCAGAGCCTTCGTCTGGACCTTCCCCTGACTCCAGGACTGGCCCATTTTCCTCCCTTTACACTTCAAGAGCCAAAATAAACAGCAAAGGGGACAAAGGAAAATCTTGACTTGTCCCCTTCTGGATATCACATGGTTATGACACTAAATTTCTTGAATAAAATTTTCAGCAAGACTCATATCTTCCAGAACATTAAGCAAAAAAGGCCAATGCAAATGATCAAAGGCTTTCTCTGCATCTAAGAACTATACAGCTAGTTTTTTGTTATGTTGTTGTAAAAGTACTATGGCAACCAACACAGTTCTCACATTGTCTTTTGTCATTTAAGTAAAAAGCCACATTGATCTTCATGAATAAACTCTTGGAAAATGTTTTTAGATTACCAGTTAAATTTAATCTGAACACTTTATCATTACCATTCATAAGTGAATGGTGATTATAAACATGCAATCTGCATCTCCCTGTAGGCGACTCTCTACAACTCTGAGGAAGATGCATCCTGAGGGTCCCCCATGGCCCCACCAGACCCTCCAGCCAAATTCTCCCCTGCAGCCACTGCTCCCACTTGCCCCAAAGGCTCCACTTGGGGACAATCCAGGGGTGAAATGGTATCAGTTCGGGCCGGTTCACCCGAACCGGTAATAAAAAATGCTACTGGTTCACCGAACCGGTATTAAAAAATGTAAAAGAAAAGTTCCGATGATCAGCTGAGTGACGCACAATCGTTGGAACTTTTTTTTTATTTTACTTTTTAAGCATTTTTTTACAACCAGTTCAGACAAATACATAGTAAAAAAATGCTTTAAAAAAGTGAAAAAAGGACACTCAGACGATCGCGTGAAACAGCTGTTATATTTCACATGACTGTGAAACCAAATCACTTGTTCAAGTTTCCAGTGATTTTTGGAAAATTAAGTCTGTATCAATCTAGTTATTGGTGGTTCAAAATAAAAGAAAGAAAGAAGGAAGGAAAATGGAATTTTCAACAATTGGTGGCAGAGATGGGATTGCCTCAGATTCTGGAGACCCCTAAGTGGCATCAGTGAAGAAGAAGAATGAATTGTCTATTGGAGAGAATTTAGTTCAGGGAGATCTCAAACCCTCCAGGCACCGGCCTCAGAAATGACCTGATCTTTGATTAGGTAATTGGAGATGGAAAAGCTTGAATCCTTTTCCCTCACACTTGGTTTGGGCAGAAATAAAGGTAAAGGTACACCTTGCACATATTTGTCAGTCATTCCCAACTGTAGGGGGCGGTGCTCATCTCCATTTCAAACCCGAAGAGCCAGCACTGTCTGAAAACATCTCCGTGGTCATGTGGCTGGCATGACTAAATGCCAAAGATGCATGGAAGGCTGTTACCTTCCCACCAAGTGTGCTCCCTATTTTTCTACTTGCATTTTTTACGTGCTTTCGAACTGCTAGGTTGGCAGAAGCTTGAAATTTTTATTTCAAACTATACCAATAAAACTGGAGAAAAAATAATTTGAAGAGTTGAAGAAAATAATGTGGAAATATGTGTGGCAAGGAAAGAGAGCAAGGATTAATATAAAAATGCTACAAGATGCAAGAATTAGAGGTGGGTTTGGCCTTCCGAGTTGGGAATTGTATTATCAAGCGGTGGTGTTAACATGCATTAAAGAATGGATTTTATTAAGGAATACGATATTATTGACATTGACAGGCTCAGACTTAACCCAGACAAGACCGAATGGCTGTGGGTATTGCCTCCTAAAGACTATGTTGACTGTCCATCCTTGGTTCTGGGGAGGGGGAGAAATTGTCCCCCTCAGAATGGGCTCGCAATTTGAGTGTCCTCCTAGACTCACAGCTTAGATTGGAGCAACATCTGACAGCTGTGGCTAGGGGGACCTTTGCACAGGTTCGCCTGGTGCATCAATTGAGACCCTACTTGGATCGGGAGGCTCTCCTCACGGTCACTCATGCCCTTGTCACCTCACAGTTAGATTATTGCAAAGCCCTCTACATGGGGCGAACCTTGAAAAGTGTTCGGAGACTACAGTTAGTTCAGAACGCAGCCGCGCAAGCTGTCGTGGGTGCACCTAGGTACACCCCCATTACACCAATTCTCCACAAGCTGCACTGGCTCTCTATTGTTATCCGGTCACAATTCAAGGTGTTGGTTATTACCTTTAAAGCCCTACATGGCTCAGGGCCAGGTTATCTTCGAGACCGCCTTCTACCGCATAGCTCCCAGCAACCGGTAAGATCCCACAGCGTTGGTCTCCTCTCGGTCCCATCAGCTAAACAATGCCGGCTGGCAGGCCCGCGGGGGAGGGCCTTTTCTGTGGATGCCCCAGCTCTCTGGAACCAGTTACCTCCTGAGGTCCGGACCATCCCCACCCTATTGGCCTTCTGAAAAGCGGTGAAGACCTGGCTTTTCCGGCAGGCCTAGGGCCGTTGATCTCGCTCTTGCGATCTGGCGAGATCCGGCCATGAATGGTATGAATGAGTTTTAATGTTTTAATGTTTTAATTTTAAAATGTTTTTTATTAGGATTCTAAATGTATTGTGAGCCGACCTGAGTCTTCAGAGAGGGGTGGCATATAAATTGAATTAAATTGAAAAAAATTGAAATGATTTACAATTGGGTTGGTATGCCTTTTTATGGTACGGGAAACAAAGGATACATGGATATTTCCAAAGACATTATCTAAGAAATGGTTTGTTATCAGTGTGGGAGAGAGTGAAAGAAAAACATTATTTGAATATTCCAATAGAAGCAGTGACATATCTCAATATTGTGAACATGGGGAATATTGTGAGATATAAAGACATTCTGACAGATCGGAGAGAGCTGAAACAAAAACAAGAACTAGAGAGTCAAGGGATCGAGATAGATTGGTATACAAATTTGCAATTACAATCAAGATATGAAGCAGATCGTAGACAATATGGCTTTAACTCGGGGAAATCTGAACTGGATGAAATATTGACAGGAACAGATGACAAAATGATTAAGAAAGTATATAATTATTTATTGTGTATTAGTTAGAAGACGAAGAAGTAAAAGTAACAATGATAGCATGGGCCAAGAATTTTGGATACACCATAGAATTGGATAAATGGCAACAACTTCGAGTAAGAAATGATAAATTAACAATGGCAACAGCCTATAAAGAAAACCTGTATAAGATGTTTTATAGATGGCATGTGCCACCAGAAAGATTAGCTAAGATGTTTAAAGATAAATCAGCTAAGTGTTGGAAATGTCACCACTTGCCGGGATCATACCATCATATGTGGTGATTGTGTAAAGAAGCAAAACAATATTGGCTGAAAATACAAACATGGTTAGAGGGAATGTTGCAGCAACATATAGAGTTAAAAGCAGAGATATTCTTATTGGGAATTTTACCAGAGAATTATAGTAAAGAAGATACATATTTGATTATTCATATAATAACAGCGGCTAGAATTGCATTTGCACAAAACTGGAAAGCAGATAAAATCCCATTGGAAGGAGAGTCTTATTTCTGAGCTTGTTCATTCCTGCATGTATGACAATTTCAATTATTAATTGGTTTATTTTACTAATTGATGATTATGTTGGAATTTAATGTCATTAACATTATACTCTTAATATGTTTATTTCCTTCTCTTTTAAAAAGCTTTAATTGTCACATTGATTCAAAGGAAGGATACAAAACACCAATAGCTGCAATGAAAAAATTAAATGTGATAAGCCTAAGAAACAATTTCACTGTCATTTCTGTACTTTTATCATGAGATGTTCCTTAGTGTTTAGATCTGGCCTCAGGATAATAATGAAGCACTTTGGGAAGAAGATGCAACCCAGCAGTCCAACACTGGAGGCCAAGATGGAGAAGACCTGAACAATCACCATGGACTTTCCTTTGGTGCTCAGGTAAGTGGGCACGAAGGAGATCCAAACACTGCAGAAGACCAGCATGCTGAAGGTTATCAGCTTGGCTTCATTGAAGGCCCCAGGCAGATTCCTAGCCAGGAAAGCTACAGTGAAGCAAATGACAGCTAGGAAACACATATAGCCAAGGCCAACATAAAACATGGTGACAGAGCCTTCATTGCATTGAAGGATGATCGCTCCATGCTGGGAGTGGAGGTCAGAGTCAGGGAATGGGGGAGAAATTGCCAGCCATAAGGCACAGATGAAAATTTGGCCAGCAGAACCAGAAAGGATGATGGAATTGGCCAAGCTCTTCCCCAACCATCTTCTCATTTTGTTCCCTGGTTTTGAGGCCAGGAAGGCCAGCACCACTGTGATTGTTTTGGCCAACACAGATGACACAGCTATTGAGAAGACAATGCTGAACACCATTTGTCGGAGAAGACAGGTGGCTTTCCTTGGTCGTCCAATGAAGAAAAAGGAGGACAAGAAGCAAAGCAAGAGGGAGACCAGGAGAATGTAAGAGAGGTCCCGGTTGTTGGCTTTGACAATGGGAGTTTCTAGGTATTTAAGGAATATGAATAAAATGAATCCTGTGGTTAGGAACAAGAGTAGGGCAATGGACACCAGGATGATGCCCAGATGTTCTTCATAGGAGAGGAAGGTTATTCTTTTCGGGATACATTGGACTCTGCTCTCGTTTGGATATTGATCATCTGGGCACTTGGTGCATTTTTCAGTATCTGAGAAAACAGAAAGTAATATTTCTTTTCTTTTCACCTTTCAAGAAAGATCTTCTTTGGATTTCAGATGATATTGACCAACCATGGCAGGTGCCAATATTGAAAAACCCAGTAGCGGTAGGTTGACAATACTAACTGTGACAGTGGGATCATCCCACTAACTTTATATCATGTTATGACGGAATGCCCCCTCAGAAGGTTCTCTGGATCTCTGCTTGAAATACACCATCTCAAGGGCATTGCTGCCCAATGGCTAAATGGTCCAGATATCCAGCAATAGGTTTAGCCACTCTAGTATCTCTTCATACATAATTTAATTTTATTCATAATTGTACCCATCATTCCTATTATGCATTTTTAAAATAATTTACTGCTCTGCTGTTTTATACTTTGATGCACATTTTATATGCTCTTTCTGCTAACTTTCTGTATTAATGCTGTATTCTGTTACACCGTATGAAATAAATACAATTGCATAGTTGCTTCTCTTTTTTCCCTGATTTCTGTTTAGATTGGTTTCCTTTTAATACCAATATGGAAATAAGGCTTTCCTATTAGAACCACAACTATATCCCTTTTTTGTTGCTGTTGTAGCTATTTGTATTTCATTATTCAGATGACATCTCCAAACTGGCAAAAAAATAGAAATTTCCTCTGGTGCATGTTGACTTGTATGATCCACCATGTTCTTCTATCTCTTCCTACCTTGTCTCTCAAAATCTTTTTCTTATTCTTCTCCTTAGGGAAGAAATCGGGCACCTTGAAAATTGAGAACCACAAAATTGTTAACCTTAGAGGCCTCTTTTAAAATGCACATTGATCAAAATGCTCTGGATGAATCTAGTAGCCTTTTCTTTGGCGTCACTCACCTTCCTGAGTGGAGATGGTCCCTTCTGGACAAGGAATACAGTCATAACAGCATACTGGCTCTCCTTTTCGAGCTTGCTTGAAAAATCCAGGATGACAATTTTCCACACATTTGGACTGAGGCAAAGACTAAGCAGGAAAACCAGGAAGGCCAAACAAAATATGTTAGAACTAACCCTTAATGAAAAAGGGAGGTAGACATGAACATTAGTCAACTAGTTGCTGGACTTCACTTAGGTAAATACGAACGTTTTAAGTAACTCTCAATGTTGCAGGAGATACAACTACTGACAGATTCTTCATTTAATTTCTCTCTTTTGTTTCTAGAATATCTCTTTGCAATACAGGACATTTCTACTTAATAAATTCTGGACCAAAGAAATTGAGAAAAGATTTAACCATGAAGTGACAATTAGTGTCACATACATACATACATACATACATACATACACATACATACATACACATATACATACACATACATACATACACATATATAAATACAACCATATGATTATATTACCATGCACTACTCCTTTCTTAATTTACCCATGAATTTTAAGTGAGATGCTGTATTCATATTAAAGTTTAGAATTAAATTTATTCTAAAAAGTTAATGATTTTTTATTTTATTTTACTAGATTTATTAAAATAGAATAAAACTGTAATGAAGAAACCTGTGACCGGTTGGAACTGGAAAGGTTTCTTCTGGACTACATGTATCATTGCAAGGCCATCCCCATTTGAAAGTGGTCCAGAACCACCTCCAATAAAGGAAAACTTCATTACAAATTTGGTTGTCATCTGTTCTTTGTTTATTTGTATGTTTATTTGCTAATTTTATATGGCCACCATGATGGTGAACTAAGACTAAAACTGACTGCATAGTTTCTAGAACTAGATTGAGATGAAATGGAGGTTAGTCATGAGAATAGAGCTGGTATTCAGCTGTTTCGGACTGGTTTGGGTGAACTGGTAGTAGTGATCTGCGGGTGGGTCCACCCACCCACCCAGGCGCAATCCTGTCCTATATCTCTGTGGTTTTGATGTTGCACGAATGCGTGGACACGTGAGTGAATTGCCATGTTGTTTGATGTCTTACGCATGTGGAGCGCACACTCACATTTCCGGTGCTGGGTGAACTGGTGGTGACAGAATGTGAAGCCCACTTCTGCATGAGAACATGACCCTCAAAAATCAGGCATTTTTTGCTGTATCACATGTGACATGAATATGAACCCTGTGACAGGGTCAAGCAAGGTTTTCAGAAAAAATGTTTTTTTCTGTTGAACAACCACAATTAGGAGACACCAATTAGCATGAAAAGACAGAGCTACATTTATTAATGGTTAAATATGGAGTCTCCTTTTTTTCCAGAGAGAGACTTAAGGTAGCTGACAATCAAGATAAACAATTGCATTCAAGGATGTTTCATATGAAGTGATAAACGAAAGGCCAAATCTAAGTAAACCCCCCCCCCCCAAATTGTCCCTCATTTCTTCCAAAATGAGGAAGGGCTTTTCTTCAGGTCAATCCTTTTTTTAAAAAAGTTTTTTATTAATCATTCAAAATTAAAAACATTGGACTTAGATATGACATCACTGGTTCTAAATATCTTCCAACTTTGGGCTGTCAACCTTAATACATCTGTTCCTTGTTTATTTGTATATTTTTTGTTAATTTTATATGGCCACCGTGCTGGTGAACTAAGACTAAAACTGACTGCTTGGTTTCTAGAACTAGAGTGAGATGAAATGGATGTGTGCCATGAGAACAGAGGTAGTACTCAGCTGGTTTGGACCGGTTTGGGTGAACTGGTAGTAGCGACCCACCAGCCTGGGCCCATCCTATATTGCTGCGGTTTTGATGCTGCATGGATGCGTGGATGGCGCATGTAAGTGAATTGCCCTATTGTTTGACGTCACACACATGCATGGACTGTGTGCACGCGTGCTCACATTTCCGGTGCTTGGCGAACCGTTGGTGACAGAATGTGAAGACCATCTCTGCATGAGAACATGACCCTCAAAAATCAGGCATTTTTTGCTGTATCACATGTGACATGTGACAGGGTCAAGTAAGGTTTTCAGAAAAAGGTTTTTTTCTGTTGAACAACCACCATTAGGAGACACCAGTTAGCATGAAAAGACAGAGCTACATTTATTATTGGTTAAATATGGAGTCTCTTTCCCAGAGATACTTAAGGTAGCTGACAATCAAGATAAACAATTGCATTCAAGGATATTCCATATGAAGTGATAAACCAAAGACCAAATCTAAGTAACTCCCCACCCCCAAATTGTCCTTCATTTCTTCCAAGATGAGGAAGGGCTTTTCTTTGGGTCAATTCTTGCTTCAGTGCTTCACTTTTCTGGGTCAGATAACATCAGAACAGTCATTATGATTTCTTGTGAATGGAAAGCCTTGGACCTTCTCCCTAGGAGCAGAAGGCCTTTTCTTCTATCCCCAAGACAGGAAAGACAAGTATGGAATATTCTGACCAGTATGGTCTTTTTAAGAATGTAAACTTGCCCAGCCATGAAAAGTAAACATGAATTCCGAAGCATATTTTCCAATGGTGTCAACAGGAAGCATGTCCAATCTTGATTACAGTTATCCTTGCCTCTTTCACTTCACTGGGAACCTGGGCTAATCTTAGGCAAGGAAACAAGACAGGGTGATGCTATCAGCACCAAAATCTCCAGCAGATATACATAATCTGCACATCTGTTTTATACAGATATCAGATGCACAGAGGACACAAAATAGCCATACATCCTAAAGAATTATTACCTAGCATCCCACATAGGACATGGCTGAATCAATTTGAAACAATGTTCTATATGACAGCATCTGAAGGATACCTTGCCAATTGTACTGAAGCGTCCCAAGCCATTTAAGAAAACTATAAAGGTTCTATTCCAGTAGTGGAATTCATTTTTTTTTTACTAACGGTTCTGTGGTGTGACTTGGTGGACGTGGTGTGACTTGGTGAGCGTGGCTTGGTGGGTGTGGCAGGGGAAGGATACTGCAAAATCTCCATTCCCACACCACTCTGGGGCCAGCCAGAGGTGGTATTTGCTGGTTTTCTGAACTACTCAAAATTTCTGCTACTCTCCCCACATTCAATTCTCACTGTATTGGTGAATAGGCTTAGCCACTTGAAAAGTGTCTCAAGGCATTGAAAAACAGAGAAAAGTCACCAATGTTTCACACACCTTATTGAGCAACTTTAGCTGTGAAAGAGCATCTTGATTGATAATAAGTCTCTGTCTTTCAAAACTCCCCAGTTGCTTTCTAATGGGATCCTCTCTGGAGAGAACTATGAAGCTTATGATGTTCAGATCTGCTGCCACATCACCATTTTGGTCCAAGTACAGTTTCTTGTGGGAAAGATTGCAAAACTCATTCTTCTTCAGAAATGGATGGAACTAGAAGAGAAATATCCAGGAATGTTAAAAGCAGAAACCTTGGTTTTTCCATCCCACATTATTATTTTTTTTCAGATTTGAGTCTTTCTGCTACTTTCTGTCTCACTTGTAAATATCCTGAGTTGGGAGAACAAGTGTTATCACTGTCCTCAAAAGGGAAAAAAGAAAGGTTCAGCAAAAAAAAAAAAAAAAAGTGCCCCGAGCCCACTGTAACAACATTGCCAAAAAGGCACTAAGAGTTGTTAACCTAATCTTGCATAGCTTCTTTTCTGGTAATGTTGTACTATTAACTAGAGCATACAAAACATTTGCTAGAGCAATTCTTGCATACAGTTCATCTGTCTGGAACTCGCATTGCATATCGGACATAAATACAACCAAGAGAGTCCAGAGATATTTGACGAGAAGAGTCTTCCATTCCTCTAACCGCAATAAAATACCTTAGGCCACCAGACTTCAAATTTTGGGCTTAGACAACTTAGAACTACGGCGACTTCAGTCTGACCTAAGTGTAGTACATAAAATTATCTGCCACAATGTTCTTCCTGTCAATGACTACTTCAGCTTCAACCAAAACAATACACGAGCAAATAATAGATACAAACTCAAAGTAAACCATTCCAAACTTGATTGCAGAAAACATGACTTCAGTAACAGAGTGGTCGATGCCTGGAATGCACTACCTGACTCTGTAGTTTCTTCCCCAAACCCCCAAAACTTTAACCTTAAACTGTCTACTGTTGACCTCTCCCCATTCCTCAGAGGTATGTAAGGGGCGTGCATAAGTGCACCAGCGTGCCTACCGTCTCTGTCCTAATATTCCTTTTTTACTTACTCTTTTCATGCATTCAAATGATGTTTATACTTTTACCTGTTATCTTATATATGCTTGACAAATAAAATAAATAAAATTTGTCAATCATATAGTTGGCAGTAATAGCCAACACCCAGAGGGCAAGCTCAAGATCCAAAAGGATCTTGACAGATTTGAACACTGAGCCCTATCTAACAAAATGAATGTAGATAAAAGTAAAGTTTTACATGTAGGGAAGAAAAACCAAATGTATAGGTACAGACTAGGTGAAACTTGACTTAATGTCAGTAAGTGTGAAAAAGATCTTGGAGTCTTAGTGGAGAATCACTTAAATGGCTGAAGGGCTAGTGTGACCAAAAAAACTTTGGTTTCCTGGACCATAGTCTGCACTATCTCCATGATGGGTTTTTGGCAAGGGATGGGCTGCACCTCCCAAAGACTAGGAAGAATATTTTCAGAAAATGGCTGGTTCATCTTATCAGGAGGGCTTTAAACTAAAATTGAGGGGGGAAGGTGACCAATCATTAGGATCTCCAGGACCTAATTCCAAGCAAAATCCCCTAGAAAGCAAGTTAAATAATGAGGTAAGGAGGGATGGGAAGGAAGACAAACTCAAACACCAAATAGGACACATAGGAAGCATACCCAGATTCAGACATAAAGATCTCAAGTGCCTATATACAAACGCACAACGTTTGGGGAACAAACAGAGGGAACCTGAATTATTAATACATGAAGGTAGATATGATATAGTTGGCATCACAGAAATGTGATGGGATGAAACCCATGACTGGAACATAGTAATAGAAGGATACAAACTGGTCAAAAAACCCAGATCCCATAAAAGAGGAAGTGGAGTTGCACTGCATGTAAAGGAACACTATCCTGCTACAGAAATGCACAAAACCAGAGGGAAAAAACCTCTTAGAATGCATATGACTCAATATAATAGAAAAAAAAGAATGACATTGCCACAGGTGTATACTACAGGCCACCCAACCAAGGAGAAAAAACAGTACCCTAGGTTCTGTCTTAGACCCAGACTCTTTAATAGCTTCATAAATGACTTAGATGAGGGGATAGAAGGGGAATTTACCAAATTTGTGGATGATACTGGCAGGAATAGCTAACACCTTAAGAGATAGGCTCAAGATCCAGAAGGATCTTGACAGACTTGAACACTGGGGACTAGCTAACAAAATGAAATTCATTGTAGAGAAAAGTAAAGTCTTAGGCAAGAAAAACCAAAAAAAAGACATATAGACTGGGTGAAACCAGGCTTAGTGGGTGCGCTTAGATACACCCACATTACACCAATTCTCCACGAGCTGCACTGGCTCCCTATTGACCTCTGGGTGCAATTCAAGGTCTTGGTTATTACTTTTAAAGCCCTATATGGCTCAGGGCCAGGCTATCTTCGAGACCGCCTTCTACCACATAGCTCCCAGCGACAGGTAAGATCCCACAGAGTCGGTCTCCTCCGGGTCCAGTCAGCTAAACAATGTCGGCTGGCGGGCCCGCAGGGGAGAGCCTTCTCTGTGGCTGCCCTGGATCTCTGGAACCAATTACCTCCTAAGGTCCAGACCCACCCTATTGGCCTTCCGCAAAGTGGTGAAGACCTGGCTCTTCCGGCAGGCCTGGTGCCATTGATCTTCTTATAAAGACCCGGCCACGAATTGGAGTGTATGTGTTTTAACGTTTTTAAAGTTTTAATGTTTTAATGTTTTTCTTTTAACTTTTTTTATGGGATTGTTTGCATTGTTTTATTCTTTGTTGTAAGCCACCCAGAGTCCCTTGGGAGTTGGGCGGCATAGAAATGTGACTAAATAAATAAATAAATAAATAAATAAATAAATAAATAAATAAATAAATAAATAAATAAATGCAATAATGGTGAGAGGGATCTTGGAGTCTTAGTGGACAACTAGTTAAATATGAGCGAGCAGTATGCGGCGGCAGCCAAAAAACCCAATGTAATCCTAAATTGCATTAAAAGAGAGATACAATCATGATCAAGTATTAATACCACTCTATAAAGCCATAGTAAGACCACACCTAGAATACTGTATCCAGTTTTTTAATTTAATTTAATTTAATTTCCAATTTATATATCGCCCTTCTCCCTGAGGACTCAGGGCGGTGTATAGCCAAGATAAAAAACATAGAATACAAATATTAAAAAACATTTAAAAATATATATAAATTTTGGCCCGAAAGTTAAGAAATCACAAACTGATTAAAAGAATTTTAAAATTTCTTCTTAAGCCATCCCTGCTTGCTGGAAAAGATGGGTTTTAAGGGAACGACGGAAGGCATTGAGGTCATGGATTCTCCTTATCTCAGGGGGCAACTGATTCCAGAGGGTAGGAGCTCCCACCAAGAAGGCCCTCCCCCTGAGGGTCACCAGCCTACATTGTTTGGCTGATGGCACCCTGAGGAGGCCCTCTCTGTGGCAGCACACAGGTCGATGGGAGGTCATCGGTAGCAGCAGGCGGTCTCGCAGATAGCTAGGCCCTATGCCATGGAGCGCTTTAAAGGTGATAACCAACACCTTGAAGCGCACCCGGAAGACCACTGGGAGTCAGTGCAGCTCGTGCAGGAGCAGTGTTACATGGGAGCGCCATGTTGTTCCCATCACTACCCGCGCTGCTGCATTCTGGACCAGCTGGAGCCTCCGGGTGCTCTTCAAGGGGAGTTTTGGTCACCACTCTATAAAAAAGATGTTGAGATTCTAGAAAAAGTGCAGAGAAGAGCAACTAAGATGAATTGGAGACTGGAGGCTAAAACATATGAAGAACGGTTGCATGGCTAGTCTAGTGAAGGACCAGTGCTGACATGATATCAGTCTTCCAATATTTGAGGAGTTACCACAGAGAGGAAGGGATTAAACTATTTTCCAGAGCACCCAAAGGGCAGACAAGGAATAATGGACAGAAACTGATCAAGGAGAGAGTCAACCTGGAAATAAGGAGAATTTTTTTGACAGTGAGAACAATCAACCAATGGAACAGCTTGCCTTCAGAAGTTGTGGGAGCTTCATTACTGGAAGCTTTCAAGAAGAGATTGAACTGCCATTTGTCAGAAATGGTGTAGGTTCTCCTGCTTGGTTCCTTCCAGCTCTGTTAATCTGTTATAATATGAGCCAACAATGTGTGGCAGCACATTGAGCCAACAATGTGTGGCAGCACATTGAGCCAACAATGTGTGGCAGCACATCAATAAAAAAGGAGATTCTAGGCTGCATTAATAGAGGGTGTTGTGGCCCCGCCCTCTGAGCCTATCTCATTGGAGGAAGAAAGCTCTGAACATGAGGAAGAGGAGTCAGCCAGGCCTCCCTCTCCAGGCTCCTCCCCTCTGGCACTGTCTCAGGTGCCGGCCAAGGGAGAGGAGATTAGCCAGGAGCCAGGTGTCTCAGATGAGAGCGAAGGAGAGCTGTCATTCCTGGATGCACGCCAACGAAGGTGTGATAAACGGTTGCAGCAGTTAAGGAGGCGTGCTAGGGATTAGAACTGAGTCACTGTACCACACCCCAGAGACTATATAAGAGAGGGTGGTGGCTGGTAAAACTCCGTGACGAACAAAAACTAACTTTGGCTAGTCACTTGAACAACGTCTGAAGCTGCCGAAAGGGATATTGTTTTTCTGGACTATTTGCAATGCATATGTAATTTTATGTTATCTGTTGCAGTAAAAGCTCTTGGCAGACGGTGATTATATTGCTGCCAAGTTTGAGATAACGACCTGTGTGCGTGCCAAGTACTTTCTTAACCCTCGGCTGTGTTTGTGTGTGTGTGTGTGGACGGGGACAGATCAAGAGGGATCAAATCAAGATCACATGAAGTTCTAGTAAAGTTCTTAGTAAAGGCTTTGGAAATACGTTACACAGACGTTTGCTGTTATTCTAGAGTGTTGGACATGGAAATTGAGCTCAGTCACAAGAGGGGAGATTCTGGTTGAATGAGATGAAAACCATCATAAACGGAAGAACAATTTTAGAGCTGATCCAGTGAACAAGAGAAGTTCAGTTACCCTTTCACTGATTGTTTTAATGCAAAGACCCAGCAGCCATCACTTATAGAAACTTGAACTGCGATTCCTGCAGACAGGAGGGGTTATGCTAGAAAGTCTCAGGGTCTCCTTCAAATCTATGAAATGTATTTATAAAGATAGGAGTTTATTTAAAATGCATACATATTTTATAAAATTAACACTGTTTAAGATCAATATATATATGTCATGGTACCCGCTCTTTCGAAAATTATCCACAAGTGATTGGATTGGTCAGACTTGTTGGCCACTTGAAGCACAAAATGGTTGAGATAGTTTCCTTTTCTCCTTTGTATTCCTTATCCAAAGAAAGTAAGTTTGATGGATCTTTGTCAGGACCCCATACCTGCCATGGCTGCAGCCTTTGAGTCCCCAGCTTCTCTTCTCCCTCTTTTCTTCTCCTCTTGGATATGGAGGAATATGCAGCATTCAAGGCATGGTCCAGAGTATTCATCAAAGTGTAAAGATGGTGGTTATATTGGTACCAGATCCAATTTCTTTCCACTTTGGTCTTCAGTGGAGATTTCTGAGTGCATCTTCTCCGGACTTTGACATAAATGATGTCTTCTGAAAAAGAACAGAGAAAAGATTGATCTCCGAACTGTGGTTGCACAAAGAGATCTGGTTCAAAGGAACTGTCCTTTGGCCTTTTTTTCAACTGGAAATTGTAGGCCCAAACACTATGGATATATTTCAGAAATATATGTCTTTTTATTTGCAAATCCCCAAGGACTGCAATTATCCAGACTTTCCCTTCAATGGGTTCTGGCAAACTTTTAAGTGTTGAATGGAAAAGATGAATTCTGTCCCAAACAGAAAAATATTGTACGATGTGAACAAAGACATTGACTTGTCTCCACTTGGAAATGGCAACCCTGAGGGGTCCTGTATGTCCAGCTGGTGAAATTTGTTCCGATATAACAGCACAAATTCCATTCCTGACCAGCATAGGACTCAATGTCCTCATGAAATTCTCTCCCTTCTCTGTGTCTGAAGCAAAGAGACCAATCAAGGTCCATCTGAAATGGAGGAGCAGTTGGACAATTCCTGGGTAGTGGAACCCTTCTTTGGGGAGCATCCGGTAAAAAAATGAGAATTGACTTTTATCACTCAGAGCCGCTGAAACAAGGTTAGAAGTGATCTGAAAAAGCAATGAACAATGCCGTCATTCTTTCAATAAATCCAACTTTTTCCTCATCAAGGTATTAGAATATTGTATTCCTGATTAGCTAATATTACAGACAGAATATTAGCAAGACCAGAAAAAAAATACAAGAAAAGAAAGGAAGTAACTAAAAAAAAATCAGAATAAAGAATGCCAATGATATTTTTTGATTACTCCCTTTTTTTCTGAAATCAGACCCACATTTACAAATTCAACTGAATTGTTTTCTTCAAATAAAAAGCCATATTTTATGTCAGATTTTTAAATTCTGTCCACAAAGGTTATATGTTGTTTTACTATAAGGATTTTGACTTTCTCTTTATTTTCACAGGTGTGCAGTAGAAGCCCCCAAAGCAACGGGGATGGTGTCATGAGATGATAGGGCTGCTTTGCTGCTTTTCCCCTCCCCAGTATCAATCCCATCCTTCACTAGACAATATACCTACACTGGCCACAGAGGAAAGCAACTCTTGAATGCCCTAGAATGGATATGGTTGAATGTATTGCTTACCCATCCTACCGATTCACTCTTTTTACTAGATAGAGAGGCACACACACAAACCTGTGGGACTTTGTAGGTGTCTGCTAACGTTGACATCTGGATGGAGATATCCCTGACAGTTCCATCAATAAGAGCCAAAAGGTGGTCCTTCCTTCCACAGCTGTAGTTGGGAACATTGGCTTCTCCAGTGGAGAGCATGTCCAGCAAGGCATCTGAAGTGCCAATTGTGTTCATATAGTTGTCATGGATGTCGTAGCCAAGTGTGAGATTTTGCAGGAGCTGGGAATTCTTATTGACCACTTGAATAGCGAAAATAAAGCGTAGGATTATAGACCGATCAGAAGATATGCTACTGTAAAAGAATGTTCATTTTTATCATCACCATTACCATCATCATTAATAGCAAAATATATTTTATATTTTTGATATATTTTTGCTTGACTAATCAAAATAAAGCATAGCATTTTTTAATGAGCCTTAGATAAACTCTTGTAAAAATGAACAAACAGCTGTAAATATGATCATGTCATTATCATCAACAGAACCAGCAATATACTTCTTTCCAATCTAAACCACTTTCTCTTTTGAAGCCTACAGAGTCTTAAGCCATTACTGACTCCAAACCCAGAGACAAATGATACTCACCCATCTCCATTCAATTTTAATGAATATTGGGAAGATGGAATTGATACAGTCCTCCACATGGGATAAGAATAGGAAATACACTATTCTTTGGGGCAGTACTAATTTTCATCTGCCCAATAATCAGGATTCAAAATAATTGAATAATTACAGTAAAACTGCCATAAAAGGAAGAGGATGTTTCAAAAGTGACCCAGAAACCAATTCTAAAAATAAGTTATCCTGTATTTCTATAAGGATCTGGAAGTAAATATCAATGAGTAGTTATATTTGAACTGAGCTGGGCAGGGGAAAACTACAAGAATCACTAATTTAAACAAAAGTCAGTATTCAAGTCATGAATTCGAGATTGAACAGGCAGAGGAAAATAATGTGGACTTGTTTCATATTATTTTTCTGTTCCATCTTTGGATTTGAATCTGTTCCTCAAAATAAGACAAAGAAAGCATGGAAATCTAAATGATTTAGGAAATTAGACAGGAGAGGTGCTGCCATATCTATCTGGAATAAGTGGAATAAGGAGAAAAAAAATGAGGTGTTAGAATTATAAATGGAGGGAATGCAACTCCATTATCCTGAATGACTTACGAATTAGACTGACTAGAAGGAGCTGCATTGAAAGGGAACATTATAGGAGATATTTTTGTTCCACTGGTGATAACAGCAATGAGATGGTCTCCTGGTCTGTAATAGCTCCATGGTTTTTCTCCATCCTGGTGTTCCAGAGTCAGTGGACATTTCATTCTAAGCTTTCCAGAGATTGGCCGGGGCAGCAGTAGCATCAGAAGCAGAAGTAGGAGGTTCATAATTCATGGGGCTGAATCAATTCCCTTCCTGTTTCTAAACAAGAACAAAAAGAGTTGAAGAATTAACAGCCCTGAAGAATTAAGAGACAAACCAGGCTTCACCTGGAAAGGAGAGAAAAGTACATTTAACAGCATAGCCCCTGCCTGTCCTAAAATTCACATAACACAGTGTCACCTAAAGCATTTATCCTTTTCTGATGCAGGATACCCTCCACAGTGCTTCAGTCTGATGTTGACATTGAAGGCAGTCACTAGAGAAGTAGAAGAGACATCTCAAAGAGCAGGATGGTGATAATTACAGTGAGAAACAACTTTTCCCCTGGGGACCCTGAACTTATTCCTGATATACAGCATGTTAGTGAAAAAATACAGATATACCCCTGAGGGCAGTGTTCTTTAGTGGTTGTGGTCTTTCCTGTCCAGAAAATGATGCCAGAGGGAAATGCAGCATTTCAACACCTATGTTGTTGGCTTCTTCTATCCTTCAATATGGACTCTTTTCTCCAGAGACTGCTGAGTAACGTCACCCAGAACCAAGGAGTTTGGTGCCACTCTAGGTTGAGGACACTGAATATTTTTGGATTATATCATTGTATAAATATGAAGAAAGATATAGGGCTAATAGATCTTTTTTCCCTTGACACCAATTGTTGTGACCTAGGCCCAAATGGTTATTACCAGACACAATCAGTCCTAAACAAATATATTTTATTGGAACAGCTGAGAATTACTTCATTCTCAGCTTAGTCCAAATTAAATCCAAAACAAATTCTTCATAAACAGTCCTTCGGCCTTATCACCAACCTTTGTCTTCTTTGGCACCCTGCCAAAGGCTTTTCTTGGCAAAAGTTCAGAAGCAAGAGACGCTGACAAGAAACAAATGTAGCAATGCTGCTTTCCTACAAAGATCCCAAGAGCCGTTGCTGCCTTTTTAAGACTTCTGGGAGGGGCCAAACATCTCCTGGCCATACTCCCGAGTCGTCTTTTTGCTTTAGCTGCTTTTGCCTTCTGGCAGCTCTTCGCATGCATGCACTAGGAACAGGCTCCTCCTGTTCCTCTGCCTCTTTGCTATTCGCCTCTGGAGGCTCCGCAGTCCGCTCATCACTCCCAGATGGCCCTGGCCCCATCTCTGCCTCCAACGCAGAGCCCTTGTCTGGGCCTTCCCCTGACTCCAGGACTGGCCCATTTTCTTCCCCAGCCTCCTCACTGTCAACTCCACTGCCAGCTCTTCAGGCTGATGAATGACCACAACACCAATTCGGTGCCACACCCACCTGAAAGGGAGATGGATTCCCTTCTTCTGGTTATTGGGGATGTGTTCCATGGTAGTGGAGCTCTTTGGCCTTCACATCTCTGAGGCTGTGTGTGATCCCCCTCCCAAGACTGCCAAGATCTTGAAAGAGGTGGTTGGGTATCCCCGTGTTCCTAGTTTATCTCAGTCAGTTGTCAGAAAGATTCTTGTTTGGAGAGAAAGTAAATTGAGATGTACACCTTGACATAGAAGGGAGAACTGGGGGATTGAGTTAGAGGGGGAAGCAGGCCACCCTGATGGCGATACACAGAGGATGGGAATATCCTTGGGGACATCTGGTCTTTTTAAAAAAAAATCTATTCCCATTTTACAGATCTTATCTCAGTGCCTGACTACAAGAAGTTTTGTGATGCTGAATTCTGGCTGTTGTTTTGGATGATGCATAACAAGGCTGGTTTCACCCATGATATTTTCTGACCTATCTCAGGGAAGCCTGGTTGTGCCCAGAGAGGAGCAATCCCCATCTTGGTTGAATATGTGCCACCCCGGTTGTGGTTGTGCCCCAAGTTAGACTGCAGGGGAAAAGAGAAAGGGTGACTGCTGTCATCCATGGCTTGTCATGTGCTCTTAGGAGGCTGCATCAAGATCTCTTTTTTGTCTCATGGTGGTTGAAACGAAATATGGCAGTGGATGAATGAATATCAATCTGTTGCAAAGGAGAGGTTGCTTTTGCGGTCCTTTAAGTCCCTATTTGATTGGATCGTTTTGATGGAATTTTCTTTAACAAGTCTTTTTGAGATGCAAAGGAAAGGAGGTATAAGAATTCCATCCATTCAACCATTTTCCATTTAGAAATATGGACATCTGAATTTCCTTGACTCCTTCACATAACCAAAGTGGGCATAATTCATATCTTCCATCAAATACAAGGAACTATTATAATTCTCCCCACATCATTATGCTCATGTCTGTACATTTATTCCAGCTAATATAAACAAATGTACATTTGTTCAATAGGTAATATTTGAATGTTTTTCTTCTCCATTTCAATTTGTCACAGGTTCTTTTACATAAAGCTTTCTCCTTCCTAGGACATCTCTTTTCTTCTATTAAATCAGGAAGATTCGGAAGAATCCCAGGTTCTCCCCCTACCTGTTTCTACTCCATCCTCGTTTTAGCCTTAGACTGGGTGTTTTTAGCTACTCCCACAATCTTATCCTCCTTCTTAAATCCTTTTCTCTGAATCCAACTTTCAGTAAATGGAAAATATCTTCCAAGTTAAAAATAACTTCCATCTATTCCTTTCCCTGTGACTGTACTTTGGCTTTGAGCACTGTAACTATCTCTGTCTGTCCAAACATTATGTAAGAGGTATGATGTTGCCTTTTTTTAAATAAATGAGGCCATATTAGTGTTGGTCTATTGCCAGTATCTACTAAGCCGCTCACAGCGATTCCATTAACTTTTGCTGAAATCGTATTTGTTTTGCCCTACTTCAGTCATTCTCTTTTTTTCCCTGGTTTCTACAGTGTACAAATGGCCACTTTGCCCATTGTTGCATTTTTCCTGTCTCTTTCTTTTGACTATCACCTAGGTTCAACTTGATACAACTTTTTTCCCATGGGATGGTTGCAGTATCAATTCTCAAGCTTCATCCAATGATTCTTGGAGATTTGAAAATGCCTCCAAACCTCTCAGCCTTTGAAGGATTAAAAATACAATTTTTGAAAGAATACTTAAATAACATGTCTCTGCACTTTTCTGCACTCTTTCAACATCTTTTTTACATTGTGGCAACCAAAACTGGATGCAGTATTCCAAGGTCAGGCCACACTTAAAACACTTGAGTGTCAAATGTCATTTCCAGCAAAGAGAAGAGACGGAACCCCCAGTCTCTTATATGGGCTGACACTCCTCCCAACGTTGCTGCAGCCAACTGTCACTGATCGGAATCTTTGTTCTGTTGCTAGGCAACTAACCTAACAGAACCTCCCTTCTGCTCTCCTTCCTCCATGAGAAGTCAACACTTCAAGAGCCAAAAGAAACAGCAAAGGGGACCAAGGAAAGCTTTGATTTGTCCCCTTATGGATATCACAGGATTTAGTTAGAACACCATTAACCATAAGTTCAGCCTTCTGACACTAAATTTCTTGAATAAAATTTTCAGCAAGGCTCATATCTTCCAGAACATTAAGCAAAAAAGGCCAATGCAAATGATCAAAGGCTTTCTCTACATCAAAGAAGAACTATGCGGTTTGTATTTTGTTATGTTGTTGTAAAAGTACTATGACAACCAACACAGTTCTCACATTGTCTTTTGTCATTTAATAAAAAGCCACATTGATCTTCATGAATAAACTCTTGGAAAATGTTTTTAGACTACCAGCTAAATTTTATCTGAACATTTTATCATATTTTATTCATAAGTGAATGGTGATTATAAACATGCAATCAGCATCTCCCTGTAGGCGATTCTCTACAACTCTGAGGAAGATGCATCCTGAGGGTCCCTCATGGCCCCTCCAGACCCTCCAGCCAAATTCTCCCCTGCAGCCACTGCTCCCACTTGCCCCAAAGGCTCCACTTGGGGAGAATCCAGGGGTGAAATGGTACCAGTTCGGCCAGTTTGCCTGAACCGATAGTAAAAAATGCTACTGGTTCGCTGAACTGGCAATGAAAAAATGTAAAAGAAAAGTTCCGAAGATCAGCTGAGTGACGCACAATCGTCGGAACTTTTTTTTTTTTTTTTTTACTTTTTAAGCATTTTTTTACCAGCAGTTCGGGCAAATAGGTAGTTAAAAAAATGCTTTAAAAAAGTGAAAAAAGGACGTTCAGATGATTGCATGAAACAGCTGCTATATTTCACATGACTGTAGTGTGGACAGTGAGCTTACAAAAAATAGAGAGCTAAAAGCTCCATTAATAAAAATGAATGTATTACCAAAAATATTATTTTTATTTCAAACTATACCAATAGAACTGGAGAAAAAATATTTTGAACAGTTGAAGAAAATAACGTGGAAATATGTGTGGCAAAGAAAGAGAGCAAGGATTAATATAAAAATGCTACAAGATGCAAGAATTAGAGGTGGGTTTGGCCTTCCGAATTGGGAATTGTATTATCAAGTGGCAGCATTAAAATGGATTAAAGAATGGATTTTATTACGGAATACAAGATTATTGACATTGGAGGGTCATGATTTACAATTGGGTTGGAATGCCTTTTTATGGTACGGGAAACAAAGGATACATGGATATTTCCAAAGACATTATGTAAGAAATGATTTGTTATCAGTGTGGGAGAGAGTGAAAGAAAAATCTTATTTAAATATTCCAATGTGGCTTTCTACAATAGAAGCAGTGACATACCCAAATATTGTGTACATGGGGAATATTGTTAGATATAAAGACATTCTGACAGATCGGGGAGAGCTGAAACACAAACAAGAACTAGAGAGTCAAGGGATCGAGATAGATTGGTATACAAGATTGCAAATACAATCAAGATATGAAGCAGATCATAGACAATATGACTTTAACTTAGGGAAATCAGAACTGGATGAAATATTGACAGGAACAAATGAGAAAATGATTAAGAAACTATATAATTATTTATTGTGTATTAGACTAGAAACTGAAGAAGTAAAAGAAACAATGATAGCATGGACAAAGAATTTTGGATACACCATAGAATTGGATAAATGGCAACAACTTTGGGAAAGAAATGATAAATTAGCAATGGCAACAGCCTATAAAGAAAACCTATATAAAATGTTTTATAGATGGCATATGCCACCAGAAAGATTAGCTAAGATGTTTCAAGATAAATCAGCTAATTGTTGGAAATGTCACCACTTGCCGGGATCATGCTACCATATGTGGTGGTTGTGTAAAGAAGCAAAACAATATTGGGAGAAAATACAAACATGGTTAGAGGGAATGTTGCAGCAACATATACAGTTGAAACCAGAAATATTCTTATTGGGAATTTTACCAGAGAATTATAGTAAAGAAGATACATTTAATTTAATTTTATTTAATGTATCAAATTTCTATGCCGCCCAACTCCCAAGGGACTCTGGGTGGCTTACAGCAAAAAAAATAATACACCAAAGAACATACATATTTGATTATTCATATAATAACAGCGGCTAGAATTGTATTTGCACAAAACTGGAAAGCACATAAAATCCTGTTGGAAGGAGAGTCTTATTTCTGAGCTTGTTCATTCCTGGATGTATGACAAATTCTATTACTAATTGGTTTTTTTTACTAATTGAGGATTATGTTGGAATTTAATGTCATTAACATTATACTCTTCATATGTTTATTTCCTTCAGTTTTAAATAGCCTTAATTGTCACATTGATTCAAAGGAAGAATACAAAACACCAATAACTGCAATGAAAAAAATAAATGTGATAAGCCTAAGAAACAATTTCACTGTCATTTCTCTCCTTTTATCATGAGATGTTCCTTAGTGTTTAGATCTAGCCTCAGAATAATAATGTAGCACTTTGGGAAGAAGATGCAGCCCAGCAGTCCAGCACTGGAGGCCAAGATGGAGAAGACCTGAACAATCACCATGGACTTTCCTTTGGTGCTCAGGTAGGTGGGCAAGAAGGAGATCCAAACACTGCAGAAGACCAGCATGCTGAAGGTGATCAGCTTGGCTTCATTGAAGGCCCCAGGGAGATTCCTAGCCAGGAAAGCTACAGTGAAGCAAATGGCAGCTAGGAAACACATATAGCCAAGGCCAACATAAAACATGGTGACAGAGCCTTCATTGCATTGAAGGATGATAGCTCCATGCTGGGAATTTAAGTCAGAGTCAGGGAATGGAGGAGAAATCCCCAGCCATAAGGCACAGACAAAATTTGTCCAGCAGAACCAGAAAGGATGATGGCATTGGCCAAGCTCTTCCCCAACCATCTTCTCACTTTGTTCCCTGGTTTTGAGGCTAAGAATGCCAGCACCACCGTGATTGTTTTGGCCAACACAGATGACACAGCTATTGAGAAGACAATGCTGAACACTGTTTGTCGGAGAAGACAGGTGGCTTTCCTTGGTCGTCCAATGAAGAAAAAGGAGGACAAGAAGCAAAGCAAGAGGGAGACCAGGAGGATGTAGGAGAGGTCCCGGTTGTTGGCTTTGACAATGGGAGTTTCTAGGTATTTAAGGAATATGATTAAAATGAATCCTGTGAATAGGAACAAGAGTAGGGCAATGGACACCAGGATGATGCCCAGATGTTCTTCATAGGAGAGGAAGGTTATTCTTTTCGGGATACATTGGACTCTGCTCTCTGTTGCATATTGATCATCTGGGCACTTGGTGCATTTTTCAGTATCTGAGAAAACAGAAAGTAATATTTCTTTTCTTTTCACCTTTCAAGAAAGATCTTCTTTGGATGTCAGATGATACTGACCAACCATGGCAGGTGCCAATATTGAAAAACCCAAAGGGGCAGGTTGACAATACTAACTGTGACTGTAGGATCATCCCACAAACTTTATATCATGTTATGATGGAATGCCCCCTAAGAAGGTTCTCTGGATCTCTGCTTGAAATACATCATCTCAAGGGCATTGCTGCCCAATGACTAAATGGTCCACATATCCAGCAATAGGTTTAGCCACTCTAGTAACTGTTCATACATAATTTAATTTTATTCATAATTGTACCCATCATTCCTATTATGCATTTTTAAAATAATTTACTGCTCTGGTGTTTTATAGTTTGATGGACACTTTATATGCTCTTTCTGCTAACTTTATGTATTAATGCTATATTCTGCTCCAGCATATGAAATAAATACAATTGCATAGTTGGTTCTCTTTTTTCCCTGATTTCTCTTTAGATTGGTTTCCTTTTAATACCAATATGGAAATATAGCTTTCCTATTAGAACCACAACTATATCCCTTTTTTGTTGCTATTGTAATTATTTGTATTTCATTATTTAGAGGACATCTCCATACTGGCAAGAAAAGAGAAATTTCCTCTGGTGCACATTGTCTTGTATGATCCACCATGGTCTTCTATCTCTTCCTGCCTCATCCCTCCAAATCTTTTTCTTATTCCTACCTTTAGGGAAGAAATTGGGCACCTTGAAAATTGAGAACCACAAAATTGTTAACCTTAGATGTCTCTTTTAAAATGCACATGTATCAAAATGCTCTGGAAGAATCTAGTAGCCTTTTCTTTGGTGTCACTCACCTTCCTGAGTGGAGATGGTCCCCTCTGGACAAGGAACACAATCATAGCAGCAAACTGGCTCTCCTTTTCGAGCTTGCTTGAAAAATCCAGGATGACAATTTTCCACACATTTGGACTGAGGCAGAGACTAAGAAGAAAAACAAGGAATGACAAATGAAATATGTTAGGACACAAAATAGCCATACATACTAAAGAATTATTACCTAGCATCCCACATAGGACATGGCTGAATTAATTTGAAACAATGTTCTATATGACAGCATCTGAAGGATACCTTGCCAATTGTACTGAAGCGTCCCAAGCCATTTAAGAAAACTATAAGGATTCTATTCCAGTAGTGGAATTCAATTTTTTTTACTAACGGTTCTGTGGGCGTGACTTGGTGGACGTGGTGTGACTTGGTGAGCGTGGCTTGGTGGGCATGGCAGGGGAAGGATACTGCAAAATCTCCATTCCCACCCCACTCCAGGTGAAGGATACTGCAAAATCGCCATTCCCACCCCACTCTGGGGCCAGCCAGAGGTGGTATTTGCCGGTTCTCTGAACTACTCAAAATTTCTGCTACCGGTTCTCCAGAACCTGTCAGAACCTACTGAATTTCACCCCTGTTCTATTCCCCACATTCAATTCTCACTGTATTGATGAATAGGCTTAGCCACTTGAAAAGTGTCTCAAGGCATTGAAAAACAGAGAAAAGTCACCAATGGTTCACACACCTTATTGAGCAACTTTAGCTGTGAAAGAGCATCTTGATTGATAATAAGTCTCTGTCTTTCAAAACTCCCCAGTTGCTTTCTAATGGGATCCTCCCTGGAGAGAACTATGAAGCTTATGATGTTCAGATCTGCTGCCACATCACCATTTTGGTCCAAGTACAGTTTCATGTGGGAAAGATTGCAAAACTCATTCTTCTTCAGAAATGGATGGAACTAGAAGAGAAATATCCAGGAATGTTAAAAGCAGAAACCTTGGTTTTTCCATCCCACATTATTTTTTTTTTTCAGATTTGAGTCTTTTTGCTACTTTCTGTCTCAGTTGCAAAGTGTTATCACTGTCCTCAAAAGGGAAAAAAGAAAGGTTCAGCAAAAAAAAAAAGTGCCCCGAGCCCACTGTAACAACATTGCCAAAAAGGCACTAAGAGTTGTTAACCCAATCTTGCATAGCTTCTTTTCTGGTAATGTTGTACTATTAACTAGAGCATACAAAACATTTGCTAGACCAATTCTTGAATACAGCTCATCTGTCTGGAACCCGCATTGCATATCGGATATAAATACAACCGAGAGAGTCCAGAGATATTTTACGAGAAGAGTCTTCCATTCCTCTAACCGCAATAAAATACCTTATGCCACTAGACTTCAAATTTTGGGATTAGACAACTTAGAACTACAGCGACTTCAGTCTGACCTAAGTGTAGTACATAAAATTATCTGCCACAATGTTCTTCCTGTCAATGACTACTTCAGCTTCAACCAAAACAATACATGAGCAAATAATAGATACAAACTCAAAGTAAACCATTCCAAACTTGATTGCAGAAAACATGACTTCAGTAACAGAGTGGTCAATTCCTGGAATGCACTACCTGACTCTGTAGTTTCTTCCCCAAATCCCCAAAACTTTAACCTTAAACTGTCTACTGTTGACCTCTCCCCATTCCTAAGAGGTATGTAAGGGGCGTGCATAAGTGCACCAGTGTGCCTACCATCTCTGTCCTAATATTCCTTTTTACTTACTCTTTTCATGTATTCAAATTATGTTCATCCTTTTACCTGTTATCTTATATATATTTGACAAATAAAATAAATAACATTTGTCAATCATATAGTTGGCAGTAATAGCCAACACCCAGAGGGCAAGCTCTAGATCCAAAAGGATCTTGACAGATTTGAACATTGAGCTCTATCTAACAAAATGAATGTAGATAAAAGTAAAGTTTTACATGTAGGGAAGAAAAACCAAATGTATTGGTACAGACTAGGTGAAATTTGACTTAATGTCAGTAAGTGTGAAAAAAATCTTGGAGTCTTAGTGGAGAATCACTTAAATGGCTGAAGGGCTAGTGTGGCCAAAAAAACTTTGGATTCCTGGACCATGGTCTGCACTACCTCCATGATGGGTTTTTGGCAAGGGATGGGCTATACCTCCCAAAGACTAGGAGGAATATTTTCAGAAAATGACTGGTTCATCTTATCAGGAGGGCTTTAAACTAAAATTGAGGGGGGAGGGTGACCAATCTTTAGGATCTCCAGGACCTAATTCCAAGCAAAAGCCCCTAGAAAGCAAGTTAAATAATGAGGTCAGGAGGAATGGGAAGGAAGACAAACTCAAACACCAAATAGGACACATAGGAAGCATACCCAGATTCAGACATAAAGATCTCAAGTGCCTATATACAAACGCACAAAGTTTGGGGAACAAATACAGTGAACCTGAATTATTAATACATGAAGGTTGATATGATATAGTTGGCATTACAGAAATGTGATGGGATGAAACCCATGACTAGAACATCGTAATAGAAGGATGCAAACTGATCCAAAAAATCCAGATCCCATAAAAGAGGAGGTGGAGTTGCACTGTATGTAAAGGAACACTATACTGCTACAGAAATACACAAAATCAAAGGAAAAAAAACCTCTTAAAATGCATATGACTCAATATAATAGAAAAAAAGAATGACATTGCCACAGTGTATAATACAGGCCACCCAACCAAGCAGAAAAAACAGTAACCTAGGTTCTATCTTGGACCCAGACTCTTTAATAGCTTCATAAATGACTTAGATGAGGGGATAGAAGGAGAATTGACCAAATTTGTGGATGATACTGGCAGGAATAGCTAACACCTTAGGAGATAGGCTCAAGATCCAGAAGGATCTTGACAGTCTTGAACACTGGGGCCTACCTAACAAAATGAAATTCAATGTAGAGAAAAGTAAAGTCTTAGGCAAGAAAAACCAAAAGAAGACATATAGACTGGGTGAAACCAGGCTTAGTGGGTGCGCCTAGATACACCCACATTACACCAATTCTCCGTGAGCTGCACTGGCTCCCTATTGGTCTCTGGGTGCAATTCAAGGTGTTGGTCATTACCTTTAAAGCCCTATATGGCTCAGGGCCAGTCTATCTTCGAGACCACCTTCTACCACATAGCTCCCAGTGACCGGTAAGATCCCACAGAATCGGTCTCCTCCGGGTCCCGTCAGCTAAACAATGTTGGCTGGCGGGCCCGCGAGGGAGGGCCTTCTCTGTGGCTGCCCCAGATCTCTGGAACCAATTACCTCCTGAGGTCCAGACCTACTCTATTGGCCTTCAGCAAAGTGGTGAAGACCTGGCTCTTCCGGCAGGCCTGGTGCCGTTGATCTTGTTATAATGATCTTGCAAGACCCAACCACGAATTGGAGTGCATGTGTTTTAACGTTTTTAAAGTTTTAATGTTTTAATGTTTTCTTTTAACTTTTTTTATGGGATTGTTCGCATAATTGTTTTATGCTTTGTTGTAAGCCACCCAGAGTCCCTTGGGAGTTGGGCGGCATAGAAATGCGACAAAATAAATAAATAAATAAATAAATAAATAAATAAATAAATAAATAAATAAATAAATAAGTATGTAAGTAAATAAATAATAGCAATAATGATGAGAGGGATCTTGGAGTCTTAGTGGACAACTAGTTAAATATGAGTGAGCAGTAGACGGCGGCAGCCAAAAAAGCCAATGTAATCCTAAATTGCATTAACAGAGAGATACAATCATGATCAGGTATTAATACCACTCTATAAAACCTTAGTAAGACCACACCTAGAATACTGTATCCAGTTTTGGTCACCACTCTATAAAAAAGATGTTGAGACTCTAGAAAAAGTGCAGAAAAGAGCAACTAAGATGAATCGGAGACTGGAGGCTAAAACATATGAAGAACGGTTGCATGGCTAGTCTAGTGAAGGACCAGTGGTGACATGATATCAGTCTTCCAATATTTGAAGGATTACCACAGAGAGGAAGGGATCAAACTATTTTCCAGGGCACCCAAAGGGCAGACAAGGAATAATGGACGGAAACTGATCAAGGAGAGAGTCAACCTGGAAATAAGGAGAATTTTTTTGACAGTGAGAACAATCAACCAATGGAACAGCTTGCCTTCAGAAGCTGTGGGAGCTTCATTACTGGAAGCTTTCAAGAAGAGATTGAACTGCCATTTGTCAGAAATGGTATAGGTTCTCCTGCTTGGGCAGGGGATTTGAATAGATGACCTACAAGGTTCCTTCCAGTTCTGTTAATCTGTTATAATATGAGCCAACAATGTGTGGCAGCACATCAATAAAAAAGGAGATTCTAGGCTGCATTAATAGAGGGATCAAATCAAAATCACATGAAGTTCTAGTAAAGTTCTTAGTAAAGGCTTTGGAAATACGTTACACAGACGTTTGCTGTTAGTCTAGAGTGTTGGACATGGAAATTGAGCTCAGTCACAAGAGGGGAGATTCTGGTTGAATAAGATGAAAACCATCATAAACGGAAGAACAATTTTAGAGCTGATCCAGTGAACAAGAGAAGTTCAGTTATTCTTTCACTGATTGTTTTAATGCAAAGACCCAGCAGCCATCACTTATAGAAACTTTTACTGCGATTCCTGCAGACAGGAGGGGTTATGCAAGAAAGTCTCAGGGTCTCCTTCAAATCTATGAAATGTATTTATAAAGATAGAAGTTTATTTAAAATGCGTTCATATTTTATAAAATTAACACTGTTTATGAACAAAATATATATGTCATGGTACCCGCTCTTTCGAGAATTATCCACAAGTGATTGGATTGGTCAGACTTGTTGGCTTTTTGAAGCACAAAAAGGTTGAGATAGTTTCCTTTTCTCCTTTGTATTCCTTATCCAAAGAAAGTAACTTTGATGGATCTTTGTCAGGACCCCATACCTGCCATGGCTGCAGCCTTTGAGTCTCCAGCTTCTCTTCTCCCTCTTTTCTTCTCCTCTTGGATATGGAGGAATATGCAGCATTCAAGGCATGGGCCAGAGTATTCATCAAAGTGTAAATATGGTGGTTATATCGGTACCAGATCCAATTTCTTTCCACTTTGGTGTTCAGTAGAGATTTCTGAGTGCATCTTCTCCGGCCTTTGACAGAAATGATGTCTTCTGAAAAAGAACAGAGAAAAGATTGATCTCCGAACTGTGGTTGCACAAAGAGATCTGGTTCAAAGGAACTGTCCTTTGGCCTTTTTTTCAACTGGAAATTGTAGGCCCAAACACTATGGACATATTTCAGAAATATATGTCTTTTTATTTGCAATTCCCCAAGGCCTGCAATTATCCAGACTTTCCCTTCAGTGGGTTCTGGCAAACTTTTAAGTGTTGAATGGAAAAGATGAATTCTGTCCCAAACAGAAAAATATTCTACGATGTGAACAAAGACATTGACTTGTCTCCACTTGGAAATGACATCCCTGAGGGGTCCTGTATGTCCAGCAGGTGAAATTTGTTCTGATATAACAACACAAATTCCATTCCTGACCAGCATAGGACTCAATGTCCTCATGGAATTCTCTCCATTCTCTGTGTCTGAAGCAAAGAGACCAATCAAGGTCCATCTGAAATGGAGGAGCAGTTGGACAATTCCTGGGTAATGGAACCCTTTTTGGGGAAGCATCAGGTAAAAAAATGAGAATTGACTTTTATCACTCAGAGCCGCTGAAACACTATTATAACTGATCTGAAAAAGCAATGAACAATGCTGTCATTCTTTCAATAAATCCAACCTTCTTCTCATAAAAGTATTAGAATATTGTATTCTTGATTAGCTAATATTACAGACAGAATATTAGGAAGATAAAAAATACAATAACAGAAACGAAGTAATAAAAAGATCAGAATAAAGAATGCAAATCATATTTCTTTATCACTCCCTTTTTTTCTGAAATCAGACCCACATTTGAAAATTCAGTTGAATTATTTTGTTCAAATAAAGAGGCATATTTTATGTAAGTTTTAAATTCTGTCCACAGATGTTATGTGTGGTTGTTTTAATATAAGGATTTTGATTTTGACGCAGACCTTCTCCTTTCACAAGTGTGCAGTAGAAGCCCCCAAAGCAATGGGGATGGTGTCATGAGATGATAGGGCTGCTTTGCTGCTTTTCCCCTCCCCAGTATCAATCCCATCCATCACTAGACAATATACCTACACTGGCCACGGAGGAAAGCAACTCTTGAATGCCCTAGAATGGATATGGTTGAATTTATTGCTTACCCATCCTACCGATTCACTCTTTTTACTAGATAGAAAGGCACACACACAAACCTGTGGGACTTTGTAGGTGTCTGCTAATGTTGACATCTGGATGGAGATGTCCCTGTCAGCTGCATCAATAAGAGCCAAAAGGTTGTCCTTCCTTCCACAGCTGTAGTTGGGAACATTGGCTTCTCCAGTGGAGAGCATGTCCAGCAAGGCATCTGAAGTGCCAATAGTGTTCAGATAGTTGTCATGGATATTGTAGCCAAATGTGAGATTTTGTAGGAGTTGGGAATTCTTATTGACCACTTGAATAGTGAAAATAAAGCGTAGGATTTTAGACCGATCAGAAGATATGCTACTGTAAAAGAATGTTCATTTTTATCATCATGAATAGCAAAATATATTTTATATTTTTGAGATATTTTTGCTTGACTAATCAAAATAAAGCATAGCATTTTTCAATGAGCATTACATAAACTCTTACAAACTGCTGTAAATATGATCATGTTATTATCATCATCAACAGAACTAACAAAATACTTCTTTTCAGTCTAAGCCACTTAGTCTTTTTTTGTTATGAGTAGATGTATTTGAACTGAGCTGGGCAGGGGGAAACTACAAGAATCACTAATTTAAACAAAAATCAGCATTCAAGTCATGAATTCAGAATTGAACAGGGAGAGGAAAATAATGTGGACAAAGAAAGCATGGAAATCAAAATGATTTAGGAAATTAGACAGGAGAGGTGCTGCCATATCCATCTGGAATAAGTGGAATAAGGAAGAAAAATGAGTTGTTAGAATTATAAATGAAGGGAATGCAACTCCATTATCCTGAATGACTTACGAGTTAGACTGACTAGAAGGAGCTGCATTGAATGGGAACATAACGGGAGATATTTTTGTTCCAGTGGTGGTAACAGCAATGAGATGGTCTCCTGGTCTGTAATAGCTCCATGGTTTTTCTCCATCCTGGTGTTCCAGAGTCAGTGGACATTTCATTCTAAGCTTCCCAGAGATTGGCTGGGGCAACAGTAGCATCAGAAGCAGAAGTAGGAGGTTCATAATTCATGGGGCTGAATCAATTCCCTTCCTGTTTCTAAACAAGAACAAAAAGAGTTGAAGAATTAACAGCCCTGAAGAATTAAGAGACAAACCAGGCTTCACCTGGAAAGGAGAGAAAAGGACATTTAACAGCATAGCCCCTGCCTGTCCTAAAATTCACATAACACAAAGTGCGACCAAAAGCATTTATCCTTTTCTGATGCCCTCCACACTGCTTCAGTCTGATGATTACATCATAGGCAGTCACTAGAGAAGTAGAAGGAGACATCTCAAAGAGCAGGATGGTGATACTTACAGTGAGAAGCAACTTTTCCTCTGGGGATCTTGAATTTATTCCTGATGTACAGCATGTTAGTGAAAAATTATAGATACAGTATACCCCTGAGGGCAGAGGTCCGTGGTAATTATGATCTGTCCTGTTAGGATATGTCTAAAAAATGACTCTTTTCTCGAGAGACTGCTGAGTAAGGTCACCCAGAACCATGGAGTTTGGTGCCAGTCAAGGTTGAGGACACTGAATATTTTTGGATTATATCATTGTATAAATATGAAGAAAGATATAGGGCTAATAGATATTTTTTCCCCTTGACAACAATTGTTGTGACCTAGGCCCAAATGGTCCAGACACAATCAGTCCTAAACAAACATATTTTATTGGAGCAGCTGAGAATTACTTCATTCTCAGCTTAGTCCAAATTAAATCCAAAACAAATTCTTCATAAACAGTTCTTCAGCCTTATCACCAACCTTTGTCTTCTTTGGCACCCTGCCAAAGGCTTTTCTTGGCAAAAGTTCAGAAGCAAGAGATGCTGACAAGAAACAAATGTAGCAATGTTTCTTTCCTACAAAGATCCCAAGAGCCGTTGCTTCTCTTTTAAGCCTTCTGGTAGGGGCCAATCATCTCCTGGCCTTACTCCCGAGTCGTCCTTTTGCTTTAGCTGCTCTTGCCTTCTGGCAGCTCTTCGCGTGCATGCACTAGGAACAGGCTCTTCCTGTTCCTCTGCTTCTCTGCTATTTGCCTCTGGAGGCTCCGGAGTCCGCTCATCACTCCCAGATGGCTCTGGCCCCATCTCTGCCTCCAACACAGAGCCCTCAGCAGGGCCTTCCCCTGATGTAAGGACTGGCCCATTGTTCTCCCCAGCCTCTTCACTGTCCAACTCCACTGCCAGCTCCACAGGCTGCTGGCAGATCACAACACCATTCGGTGCCACACCCACCTAAAAACTGGTTTGAAGGGAAATGGATTCCCTTCTTCTGGTTGTGTGGATGTATTCCATGGTAGTGGAGCTCTTTGGCCTTCACATCTGAGGCTATGTGTGATCCCCCTCCCAAGACTGCCAAGATCTTGAAAGAGGTGGTTGGGTATCCCTGTGTTCCTAGTTTATCTCAGTCAGTTGTCAGAAAGATTCTTGTTTGGAGAGAAAGTAAATTGAGATGTTCACCTTGACATAAAAGGGAGAACTGGGGGATTGAGTTAGAGGGGGCAGCAGGCCACCCTGATGGTGATACAAAGAGGATGGGCCATCCTTGGGGACATCTGTTTTTTTTTTTTTATCTATTCCCATTTTACAGATCTTGACTTCTTATCTCAGTGTCTTTCTACAAGAAGTTTTGTGATACTGAATTCTGGTTGTTGTTTTTGGATGATGGATAACAAGGCTGCTTTCACCCATCATATTTTCTGACATGTCTCAGGGATGCCTGGTTGTGCCCAGAGAGGAGCAATCCAGGGGTGATATGCTCCCAGTTTGGACCGGTTCGGACGAGTAGGTAGCAATGATGGCCGGTGGTTTAGAGAACCGGTAGCAACCTACCCCTTTCCCCAGAGTGGGGGATGCACCATTCCCCAACTCCTACTGCTCACCTTTCTCCCGCAGCTGGCTATCAGGGAAGGCAAGCGCCCGAAAGATACCGGATTCACTCACTCTCCTTCTTGAATGAGCCACTCTGGTCCACGCGCCGGCTGTGGAAGCGCACAGTTTATTTAATTTGACGGCAGGTTGGATGTGCGCTTGTGCAGCTGGCGCGTGGACCAGAGCGGCTCATTCAAGAAGGAGAGTGAGCGACTCCGGTACCTTTCGGGCGCTTGCCTTCCCTGACAACCAGCTGCAGGAGAAAGGTGGGAGTAGGAGTTGGGGAATGTTTTATTCCCCGACTCCAGGGAATGGGGTAGGTGGGCGGAGCCGCGGGAGAAAGGTAAGGACACGCAGGCAGAATAGAAATTTAAAGTTTTCCTACCGGGTTCTGTGGGTGTGGCTTGGTGGGAGGGGGTCTTGTGACTGAGTGGGCATGGCTGTGAGTGACTTTGAGTTGGCCACGCCCATTCAGTCACAGGACACCCCCCCACCAAGCCACACCCACAGAACCAGTAGGGAAAAATTTTAGATTTCACCCCTGGAGTAATCCCCATCTTGATTGAATATGTGCCACCTCGGTTGTGGTTGTGCCCCAAGACCCCAAGGGAAAAGAGAGAGTGACTGCTGTCATCCGTGGCTTGTTATGTGCTCTTAGGAGGCTGCATCAAGTTCTCTTTTTTGTCTCAGGGTGTTTGAAATGAGATACGGCAATGAGGACATGGATATCAGTCTGTTGCAAAGGATAGATTGCTTTTGCGGTCCTTTAGGTGCCTATTTGATTGAATCATTTTGATGGAATTTTCTTTAACAAGTCTTTTTGAGATGCAAAGGAAAGGAGGTATAAGAATTCCATCCATTCAACCATTTTCCATTTAGAAATATGGACATCTGAAGTTCTTTGACTCCTTCAGATAGTCAAAGTGGGCATAATTCATATCTTCTATCAAATACAAGGAACTATTATAATTCTTCCCACATCATTATGCTCATGTCTGTACATTTATTCCAGCTAATATAAACAAATGTACATTTGTTCAATAGGTAATATTTGAATGTTTTTCTTCTCCATTTCAATTTGTCACAGGTTCTTTTACATAAAGCTTTCTCCTTTCTAGGATATTTCTTTTCTTCTATTAAATCAGGAAGACTCTGAAGAATCCCAGGTTCTTTCCCTACCTGCTTCTACTCCATTCTTGTCTTTGTCTTACCTTGGGCCCTTTTAGCTACTCCCACAATCTTATTCTCCTTCTTGAATCCTTTTCTCTGAATCCAACTTTCAGTAAATGGAAAATATATTCCAATTACTAAGTTACACAGCAAGTTAAAGATAACTCCTACCTATTCTGTCAGAGTATATTCATCAACTGGAATAGGACATGGTAACAAGGTCAGCCAATGTATAGGCATAGCAACTAAATTAGCCAATGAGGGGTGTTTGGGAGCTGAGACAGACTGGAGTCAGGGCGTGTCTTAGTCTGCAGCTTCTGTGTCTGTGCAGAGAAACTGAAACTAATCTGCTCTGCTGAAATGAAACTAACCATGTTAAAATAATATAGAAAAAAATGACTTTTACAAATTTGTTATTTTTCAAAAATGGCATTTAGTAGTCTCCATTAACAGTTTTTGACCATTTAATATTTATTTATTTATTTATTTATTTATTTATTTATTTATTTATTTATTTATTTATTTTGTATACCGCCCTTCTCCCAGAGGGGACTCAGGGCAGTGAACAGCCAAAATTAAAAAACATACAAATACAAAAGTTAAGATAATTTAAAAAAATTAAATCATTAGCTTCCCAATTTAAAACCCCCAAATCCATAAAATTTAAAATCCCAATTAAAAACCATTTAGGCTAGGCCGGCTTGGTGGAATAAAAACGTCTTCAGGGCTTTACGGAAGGTCCGGAGGTCCGGGATCAATCATATTCCAGAAGGCAGCTCGTTCCACAGGGCGGGTGCTCCCACAGAGAAGGCTCTCCCCCTGGGGGCCACCAGCCGACATTGCCTGACCGACGGCACCCTGAAGAGGCCCTCTTTGTGAGAGCATATTTGCCGGTGGGAGGTTATCGGTAGCAGCAGGCAGTCTCACAAATATCCTGGCCCTAAGCCATGGAGCGCTTTAAACATGAGAACCAGCACCTGGAAGATCACCGGGAGCCAATGCAGCTTGCGCAGGAGAGGTGTTATGTGGGAGCGCCACGTCGCTCCCAAAATCACCCGCGCGGCCGCATTCTGCACCAGCTGGAGCCTCCGGGTGCTCCTCAAGGGGAGCCCCATGTAGAGAGCATTGCAGTAGTCTAGGCGTGACGTGACCAGGGCATGAGTGACTATGCACAAGGAGTCCCGATCCAGAAAGGGGCGCAACTGGCGTATCAGGCGCACCTGATAAAAAGCCCCCCTGGCCACAGCCATCATATGCTCTTCTAAAGACAGCCGTGTGTCCAGGAGGACACCCAAGTTGTGAGCCCCCTCTGTGGGGGTCAATGACTCGCCCCCAATAGCCAGCGATGGCACCAGCTGGCTATATCGGGACGCCGGTATCCACAGCCATTCGGTCTTGGAAGGGTTGAGTCGAAGCCTGTTCCTCCCCATCCAGACCCGCATGGCCTCCAGACACTGGGACATCACTTCGAGGGCATCAGTGGGGTGGTTAACTTATATGTTTCTTATCTTGCCTAAAGATGACTTTAGGCAGTTTATAATCAATATAAACAAGAAGAAACAATAAAACATTCAAAGCATGAATAGTACCACTAACATTGTTTAAAATGGAGAAAGATGGGAATGAAGGCAGGAAGATATACCTGGGGAGGAGGTATTCTTCTTATTCTGAAAGCTTCTTCAATTTATATTCCTCTATATTCCTAAGGAAACCAATAGCAGTGCATCCAGTCTTACTTTTAGTCACAATAGTATAGGTAAATCAGCTTCCAGATGAATGGATCTTTTTAGTAGAGATGTCACCAACTGGTGGTCCATGGACCACTGGTGGTCTGTGAGAAAATTTTGGTGGTCCGCAGAAAAATTATTTGCATTTTTTATATT